ATTGCACGCTGACTCCTAAGCAGCACTGAAGGTAAAAGTGTGTGTGTGTGTGTGTGTGTGTGTGTGTGCACGCCCTTCTGAGGTCTTACTTAGTTTGTGGCATGGGGAGAGAAAACAAAAAGATTGCCTCTCACTTCCCTGCTCCCTGGTAGCCACCGCAGCCTAGTGGAGGGGTCTCGAGATGAGGGTCTGTCGACGATTCAGTCCAAGTCCTGAGGGTGGGGTCCTGGGGGCAAAGATGGCCACGGGTATTGTCACAAGTGAGCTCCCCTATCCTTGGGAGGCTGGAACCCTTCTGGGGAAGCATTTTATGGCGGTGGTTGTGTCTGCCAGGACAGAACCTCCCACATAGCGGGTCAGTCTGTTTTCCTACTCTCAGCCATGATTTCATGAGGTTGTTCTCTATAAACACGGGACAGCCTTTCTGAGGCCGCTCGTCCCATTTTCACGTGGCTGCGATTCAGCAGCCCTTGGACTGAATCTTGGATCCCAGCCCTCCTCACTTTTCTCACTCCCCTTCCCCGTGACAGTCTTGGGAGTGTTTGGAGGTGGCAGTCAGACCTTTCTCCAGGGCCCAGGGCTCGGACCCCCAACTCCCTTCTCGGCGTCTCTGCTCAGACATCTAAGAGACACCTCAGACTTGGTGCCCAAACTCAGATCCTGCTCGTCCTCCCCAGGCTCCTCAGGTGCTGACAGAGCCCGTGGAGCCATTTCTTCTCTCTTCCTCACCCTGCATCCCATCTACCAGGAAGCCGGGCTGGCTCCCCCTTCAAAGGATCTCCCACTCCTCACGCGCCCCATGTTCCCACGCTGGTCTGCCCAGCATCACATCTTGCCTCGACTACTGCAGGCACTTCCTAGCAGGTGTCTTTTCCACAGGTCGCCAGCTTTTAAAACTGAAGTCCTGGGGCGTCTGGGTGGCTCCGTCGGTTAAGCGTCTGACTCTTGATTTCAGCTCAGGTCATGATCTCATGGTTGGTGAGTTCGAGCCCCGCCTCTGGCTCTGTGCTGACAGCGTGGAGCCTGCTTGGGATTCTCTGTCTCCCTCTTTCTCTCTCTGGCCCTCCCACGCTTGCATTTTTTTTTTCTCTCTCTTAAAATAAATAAATAAAAATTAAAGAAAAAAACAAAACAAACCCCAAACCTAAGTCCTGTCACCTCACCCCTCCGCACCAAAGCCTGCAATGGCTCGCATCTTGCATCGAAAGCCCCAGCCATCGAGAGGCCCCCCATCACCTCTCCCACCTGCCTCCTCCTGCTCTCTCCCTCCTTCCACCCCTGCCATCCTGGCCTCAGCCTAACATCGCCAGGCACTGTTCCACCCGAGGCCTTTGCTCTACTGTCCCCGGGGCCCGTTCCCCAGGTACTCTGGCACTTTTGATGTCCCCTAACCTGCTCTCATTTTACCTTTTTCTTCCAGAGCATTTATCACTTTCTAGCATATTAAGCACTTTATTCATTTATTATGTGCATCGTCTCTCTCCTCTCATTAGAATGTGAATTCCTTGAGGGCAGGGAGCTTGGTTTTACTCACTGATTTGGCCAAGTGCCCTAGAACCGTGCCGGGCACTTGGTAGGAAATAATACATATTTATGGAATGGAGGTGTGAATCCTGATCCCTGCCCGTCCGGGGCCCGGGCCCCGTGTGAAGGCAGTGATCTCTCCAACGGAGTGTGGTGGGTCTGAGGACACTTAACCCTCAGCTCTGTCACTGTGTGCAGAGCTCCCCTCCAGAAGGTGTATCCCTTTTCTGTCTCATCAGCCCTTCACGTTTTCTCCAGTATAACTCCTCCCAATAACCTTTTATGGGATTGACTGCCAGTCATTTCTTAAGTCTCCCAGCTTCCTAGTATGTGTGTCTTCGTCCAAAGCAGCGATACAAATGTCAAACCAGAGAGCCGCAAGGCCACCAGCCAAGCCTGCTCTGCCAGGAGAGGCTGGGGGAAGGGGATGAGCATTTCCAGTCAGCCCCCGTGCGGGGTCCCCTTAGCCTCCCGCAACAACCCCCAATGCAGGCGCCATCATCCCTCTTTACAGAGGAGGAAATGGGGCTCAGGGTTTAAGGGAAACAGAAGGGTTCACAATCTTTAGAGGGTCACAGCGACAAAAAGTGGTTTACAGGAAATTGTTTTGTTTCCTGAGCATCAAAAAGGAAGTGAAGTGGGAGAAAGAGGCTCTTACTATAAACCTTTTTGGCTGAAAAAAAAATGAGAAGGTCTTAAAGAATAAAGCTTGTCCTCTGGGCAGCTGGCAGGACCTGGCCATCGAGGCTCCTCCCTCTCTGCTCTCTGAGGGGCTCAGCTCCCAGAGGCTCCTCCCCTTGGCTCTCTGAGCCCCGCCCCTTGACTCACGAGGCCCCTCCCGCTGTGTTCCTGGAGGCGACCTTCTGCTTCTTGTCTCTCTGAAGCCACTTTTCTCTCTACTTTTTGGGCCCCTCCTCTTTGGCTCCCTGGGACTTCCCCTCCCTCAAGATCTCTCCACTTTTCTGAGGGATGGCAGGTGAAGTCCTGTCCCACGTGACTTGTTCTCCAGGAATCCGTGCTGCTCACCTCTCCAAAGTGCTCCCGAACCCTTACAGGAAATGCCCTAGAATTGTGCCCAGCATCAGTATCAAACTCACTGGGATATAACTGGCCACATCTGCCTTCTCTTCTCCTTTTGTTTAAATCGGGACAATGTTCTCCCGTTTCTAGATCGGGGTACTACTTCTCTATGCTCCAAAGATTTGTAGAATGCTTTGAGTTGCCAAACCAGTAAACGTGCCCGATTGAATTTGTTCGTCACGGCGTCCTTGAGCGGCAAACACGATTATCTCCGTTTTACAGACAACACTCAGGTTCAGAGAAATCAAATGACTTGGTTAAGGTCAGACAAGTGAAATGTTGCCAAACTAGGATTTGGACACAGGTGTGCCATTGCAGAGGAATGTTCTTTCCCCGAGTGGACTATCATGCGGGTTGAGAGACTGTATTCTTTGGAGGACTGCACTTCTCCGGGCACTGGCTTCAGTGCTCAGCACCCACCTCCCCATCCCAGGTTAAACAATCATTCTCTGTGATAAAACAGGGTGAGATGAGGGAGGCCGGGGAAGTGGGGTTTTACTGAGCATCTCCTAAGTGCCTAGGACAGAATAAGGTATTTTGCATTATTTAAAACTAAACAAATTTTTTTTTAAATGAGAAAGAGAGACAGAGCACAAGTGGGGGAGGAGCAGAGAGAGAGAGAGAGGGAGACAGAGACTCCAAAGCCAAAGCAGGCTCAGGCTCTGAGCTGCCAGCACAGAGCCCAATGTGGGGCTCAAACCCATGAACCGTGAGATCATGACCTGAGTCGAAGTTGGACACTTAACCGACTGAGTCACCCAGGCGCCTCCATTGTTTAAAATTTAAAGAGTCACAAAAGTCAGGTAAAGTGTTATTATCCCATTTTTCAGCTTAGAAAACCAGGGCTCCCAGAGGTTCTAATTGGCCTTAGGATACAGCTACTGGGCGCCGTATTTGTGATCCCCCACACTAGGTCTGTCCAATTCCAAGTCTAAACCACACCGCAAAGAGACGAGAAAGGTATTTCATCTTTTTGGTCTTGACAACTCAAATTCTTAGCGATTCCCTTAAATACGGAGAGGCCCTAATGGCAATTACTTAAAAGAATAAAAAAATAATAATATTTAGAGTTTCTATTTGCTACAGGGAAGTTCATTTAGATGGAAAGGCATCCCCAGTTAAAAGTTTTCTGGAGTGATTTTTGAGAGTCATATAGAAGGCCTTTGCACTGACCTCCCTCCAATCTCTGATGTCATGAGAAACAGAGTGGGGTTATTGAGACACGTTACAACAGATGACATATTCATTTTCAGCTAGTTCAGTTTAGGATCTCAGTAGAAGCGTATTTCTGGCGTGGCCCGTCGACACTTCCGATGTGCCGGGGGACCTGCCTTCTCGGCTCATGGGAGCCCATGCGGAGGCTGCGTGCCGGATGGGGCCGTAGGCAGCAACTGCGGGAGGAATAGCACTATCTTGGCTGAGCTCCAAACTGGGTATGTGATTTTGAATATGTTCTCCCACTTGTGTCTAGGCTTCCTGTCTCATTTGTAATGTCAGTGGATTGGCCTAGAAGCGCTCTAGGTTCCTTCCTTCCGGCCCTGTGTTTCCAAAGACCGTCCCTTAGTCAAACCCTTAGGGCCAGGTGCGTTGTGGCTTTCAGGTTTGTTGCTGATTTAGGCTGTCCTTACGGTGACTGTATCCGAAATACACATCAGCCCTGCGGGGGTGAGGGGGCAGGAGCCTGCAGTGAGTCTCATTAGTATTTCTATAGCAAAACATGGACATTTTCACAACAGGTGGGATAAAGAGAAACGGTTAGTCGCCCCACATCAGTTTAGGTTGGAGTTTGCTTTGAACCGAGTTCTAGCAGTTCAGGCTTTGTGGCCAGAGGAGTTTGCCACACATTTCTCAAAGTTTTCAGTTTTCAGAGCTTTTCCTGGGTTACGGAATTTGTGGATAAGACGTTTTAATCTCGCCTTTATATTGCTCATTGGTGGTCACATCTAGGAATTACCTGATGCGGTGTCCTTGATGGGAAAGGCAATGCTTTTAGAAGTTACTACGGAAGGGGCACCTGGGTGGCTCAGCCAGTTGACTGTCCAACTTTGGCTCAGGTCATGATCTCATGGTCTGTGAGTTTGAGCCCTGTGTGGGGCTCGCAGCTGTCAGCACAGAGCCCGCTTTGGATCTTCCGTCCCCTCACTCTCTGCCCCTCCCTTGCTCACGCAGATGTCTCTCTCTCTCTCTCTCTCTCAAAAGTGAATAAACATTTTTTTAAAAGTTACTGTAGGAAAACAAAATCCATTTTGTGAAGATCCATTTGATATTGCTGTTTCTGGGATCACAGTGTGTCTAACAGGGAGGGCAGTAAGAATTATCGGCAATCATGGCCATGCGGCCTTCAGGACCCAGAACAATGCGGTTATGTTCAACCATGCTCATGGCTCAGTACTTACAATGGCAGGGAGTGAACTCAATCCAAGCCAAGATAGTTTTCAATAAGAACAGCTGAAAGAAAAAAACTTTCTGGTTAGCTCTTAGTTACTCAGAAAATTAGCCGGAGAAAACCTCCTTCCCTAAGAATACTGGAAAATGGATATTTTTCCTATGCTAAATATGGCATAGTTTACTTTTGTGGTACAGTGTGTTTCTTCATTAACCTTCCTTGGTCAGTAGCTCTCCTCGAATGTTCACCATGGAAATCAAACCCAAGCAGCCCTCCCTTATTCTACCTCCCTTTCCATCCCCCCCCCCACCCATGGGACAAAATGGCTTGACCACTCTGAGCATGGACAGTCCCTGGGAATTGCAGAGAACTCCCAGGGATACTGCAGTAGATTTTAAATTTTTGAAGAGAACAGCTCGACATCTGCTGGATATTGTATGCATACCTACTTTTTGATTATGCTTCCATCCTTTTTAATGATGGCATATTTTGCAAAGCGGGGTTTTTGGCTGTCTTTGAGATGAAAAGCAAGGACCATGTAAAAAGCAGTGTGCAGTAGAAAAGGAGGGTGGCTGTGTCTAATGATTCCAAGATTGAAGTCACCCAGTGCCCAGTGGGCACACACATTCTGTTAGAGAGTCATCATGGCCATTCAAAAATGAAATAAAGGCATTATTTTTTCTTTCAGTTTCTGGAGGAAGTTGTGACATAAATATGCGACATAAAGACACAACGCAATATTTATCCAGTTATTTGGATATAACTGATAAATGAAACCTGTATTTCTTTTGGTGGAGGGGGGCAACAGGAAAACTTCACTGAGGCGCTAAAGGTGCCACGGACGGAGAAAGTTTGGGAACCTGGTATAATTCACGTACTTGCTCAGAGGTAGACATTCCGAGTCATCCCTGATTCCTCCCTCTTCCGCCCTCCCAAGTCCGTTAACCAATCGTTAAGTCCTCTTGGCACTGTCTTCCAAGAAGTGTCCCGAATCCATTCTTCTGTCCACGACCGTTGTGCTCACCCTTGTGTAGACCGCCATCTCCTACAGCTACCTCTGTGCTTTGGCCCTTGCTTTCTGACAATCTGTTCTGCAGAGGCAGTCTTTTAAATACGTAAATTGGATCATGTCGCTCCAGCGGTTAAAACCCTCCGGTGGCTTCAGAGGCTTTCAGAGGCTTCCAAAGCTTGCCCACGTTGGCTCCTGCTTTCTTTCTCACCCTGCTGGAACTCCACTCTTCCCCTTGCTCTCCATGGTACAGCCTCTTCCCACCCAGCCCTTCCCATTGTCTGGAAAGTTCTTCCAGATCTTCAAATGCTTGACTCCTCCTCCTTAAGTTTCAGCTTAAATGTCACCTCTCCAGTGAGGTCTCCTTTGGGTCACCGATCTAAAATTGCCCCCATTCCCACCCTTACCCCAAATCACTATGTATCTTCTCATGTTGTTTTATTTTCTTCATAACATTTGTATCATGTTTATTGATCTGTATACTGGAGGATAGAAATTTTGCTCACTTTTGTTTGCCGTCATATTTCTGCCACCTGGAATAATGCCTGGCACATAGGAGGAGGTTAATAAGTATTTGTTGAAATGAATAGACGAGTGATTATTTCACACGGTTCTAACTTGGGATCATTCACTGATGGCTCCTAATGGAGGAGATCCAGAATTTGTATTGAGAGAGAGGATGTCAATAATTTCATTTGACTGATTTCTATGTATGTAAAATAGACATTGATATACAAAATGTGTTTTACAAAGCAGGTAATCTGGTCAAGCGTTTCCTACACTCTTTGGGAAGAGACAACTGCTTGTTATCTTATACTGACTGCATTTTCCTTAGTAATACTGATGGTTTATCATAAGTTTATATCGAATTGGATAATTAATGAAGCAACTTCATCATTTTGTTATTTTTCATAACAGGCGAGCTACCCCTTCCTTTTCTTTCCTTTCTTCAGACTAAGAAAATGAGATAAGGAATGTATAAAGGAACATTTCTACAATGACAGCATTAAACAAAACACGGGAATGCCATGATCCAGCCTGCACCCACCGATGCGTTTTCTTGGACAACACCAAGTCCAGGAAGGGAGCACAGCACAGAGGCAGTAGGAACAGGTGTGGAATTATTCAACATCTCTGGCAAACAGCAGTGGGGATTAAACAGAGATTTCTTTAATGAGATTAATTCTGAAATACGAAGAGCGGTTTGGCATGTTCCCAAAGATACAAGGCATTTGTATCTATCTAAGATTAAAGGAGCTTTCACACAAAGCGATTTTACTTTTTCAACATCAAAGAGGATTCTTGGAGGGGCTGCTTGAAGCAGACACACTGTAACAAATGTGGGGAGTGCCAAAGCTTCTTTATATAAAAGACAGTTTGCTCAGCCAGGGATTGTGTCTGTGGTTTTCACTATCCAGGATATACAGAACACTGTTCTTCCAATCACAGGATTATGGAGAAAGGCAGACCAGGGGTTAGGAATCAGGTTGACAAACATCCCAGACAGGTGGCTACCCAATGATAACCTTGGATTTCCTGGGATGGGGGCTCAGTGCTTCCTGAGGCTGACTGTTGGACAGTTCTTATAAATATTATGAATAATGGCGATGATGCTGGTAATAACGATAAGAAGGATCACAGACACTATTTCTACATGCGAGGCACTGTATTTAGCACGTAAGAAATTACACAGACTTCTGCTAAGTCTTCCTCCCTTGGGCTTTCAACCAGCCTTTCCAGGTCTGCTCTCTGGAGCTGCTCACAATAGATTTGCTCCATTGCGAGCTACAAATATTTGAAGGTAGCTTTTATATTCTGTATATTTGAAGGTAGCTTTTATATTCTGTACCGTGTGTGTGTGTGTGTGTGTGTGTGTGTGTGTGTGTGTGTATGTGTGTATTTTGTTTTGTTTTGCTAAACGTAAGTTCATTTATGTGGATCCGTATTAAATTCCATCTTGCTGGCTTTGCCTCACCCTTCCAGGCTGCTCAAATTTTATGGATCTGATTCTATCATTCAGTGTATTAACCAGACCTTAGAAAGTGTGCTACTGAAAATGATAAGCTTCCAAGTCTCCCTCCTATCCCTTTTCCCTTTCTTCTTTTCCTCCTTCTTGCCACAAACAATTATTGACTTTCTATATGCCAGATACTGTCAGGTACTGGGACTGCACGTTTGCACAAGGCACACCTATAGACTTCAAGAAAGATCTAGCTTAAGCGGGGAGGCAGGAAAACAAATTAAAATACCGTATAGTATGATTATGTCATGAATGAAAATGCAGGAGGAGAATGTCAATATAAGCTGGAGGAGTGTCTGAAAGGGGAGGAAATATGGAGCTAGGAGAAGGCCAGCATTATATCTGGTTTCTGGGGGGGGGGAGTGGGTGGGCCCGTGGGGACATAGGCAGTCCCCACTTAATTGAAAGCTAGCCAAAGGATGTTCTAGGGCTGGGAGGGCAGGGGGTAGGCTCTAGCCACCATAAAGACGTGGAAAGAGAATTCTGTGTAGAGGGAGAAGGAGGGTTTATTTATGAAAAGAGCTATGCTATTACTGCTCAGTGATACAGCCCTCTCTCCTCTCTCCTGTCTGCCTGCCTAATGGGGCTCCTCTCTTCCCCCTGGTGGACATCCCTAAAAAATCACGTTTAGCTGGGGCACCTGGGTAGCTCAGTTTGTTGAGTGTCTGACTTCAGCTCAGATCGTGATCTCATGGCTTGTGGGTTCGATCCCCTCATTGGGCTCCATGCTGACCATATGGAGACTGCTTCGGGCCCCCTATCTCCCTCTCTCTCTGCCCCTCCCCTGTTCACTAACCCCCCACCCCCCGCAATTTATCTCTCAAATATAAATACAAATTAAAATATTTAAAATAAAAAAAAAATCAAGTTTAGCTGTCTTGGCTAGCAAGTTGAAGTTTTCACATGGTGGACTGGAAAAGCAGGGAGCATTCTAGATTTCAATGAGAGACCAGGGAGGGACAATATGAGAAAGGAAGGGGGTCATTTGTGATGTGAAAATGCCCATGCCCAGTTAGAAAGGCTCGTAAGACCAAGAGCAAAGGGACTTTTTGTTATGATTGCTCGTGGGGTTCATCCAAGCATAATGACCCAGTCCTTTAGGTTGTCCTCAATATGAAGACTGGAATCCTTAGGAATCCAGGCAGAATGGCTTGTCTGCTGGTGTTGGAGAGCCGGGATGGCGCGAGGATCCTACAAGTTCCCAGGTGTTGGGAATTTTGTAGGACAGAGAACAGGTGACCTTGGTAGACCCATTATCCCATGGTGGACCCATGATCCCATGGTGGACGCATTATCCTATGGTGGACCCATGGCTTGTTCAAAGAGGGATACCTCTGAGGCCGTGAGCCCCTCCTGAGGAAAGAAACCTCAGCGGCCAAGAGGCTACAAAGTTCTGGGAATTAGTGGCCCCTGGGCCACTGTGAGGTGTTGACTGTCTCCTCAATGCTTCCCAGAATTCCTGCAACGCTGTAGAAAGTCGGTTGCACAGATGGAGTTGGTTAGGGCTGATGAGCTCCACCTGTTGTCAGTTGAGACCATTACAACCTGGGTGAAGCGAGCTGACGGTGTTTATTTCCTTCGAGAGTGTCTGTGAACAGGGTCAGGAGTGGCTCCCAGGGCCCTGAGCGCATGGTTTTGGCTACCCACACATAGCTGAGCTCCAAAAGCATGGCTCAAAGCTGTGAACCAGCGTAAAGCCGAAGTTTGTCACAACCGCTGGTGAAAAGAGGACTGGAGGGTCTTCCATGAATGATTTGGAGCTGAGAAGCAGGTTCGGGACCCGGGGCGTGCTGCCTCAGCACCCCTTTCTTCTAAAAGGTAAAGGGATGAGTCAAAAAGGGCATGGACAGTTGGAGTTTGGAGGGGTTAGATATCAAAACTAAACAAACTCTTTGTTATTAAACCAGCGCTTCCTATTTTGGGTGGGGCAGGAAGAACATAGGCATATGTTTGTGGACTAAGGGATTTGGAGCAACACTAAGCAGAAGTGAAGAGGCCAGGAAAACCCCTCAGATCCCAGCAGACCAACAAGGGCTAGGCTGAGGACTCATGGCTGCCCAGGCCCCACTTTCCAGTGTATTTCAGTCCAGCTACACCAGCAGAGCAGGGAGGCCTGGGCTTCCCCTGTCTTATGGTGCCAGAGAAGCCTTGTATTTCGGTAGATAGTTGTATACGTTCCTCCCAATAAGAGACTGGAGAGAACTTTGGTTTTAGAACAGTCCGGCTTATTCAAGACACGACGTGTAGCACTCGTGTATTCCCTATCAGTCCTTGATACGTCTAGAAGGAGGCCCTGTTAACAGTGTTACGTTACTGAGCATTAAGAGTCAACTTGGGAGAAGGCCAGGCCTTCGGCCAGTCCTAGATTACCTCTAGTCAGAGTGGGCTCCACAAGCATCGCAGAGCTAGGACTGAGGGCTCAGTCTACTGAACAGTCCTCCTGCCTGGGCATCCTCTGGCCCATGTTTCTGTCTCCTCTTGGTTTTCTACCTCAGCACATTCATAGTCCTGCTTCCTTTTCTGGAGAAAACGCAGCACACGTTTCCACCAGCTCTTCCCGAGTGGAACTTCTTTTTTGGGGGTCCCAGATGGGTCTTGGATTTCCTAAAGCAATTTAAAGTCTGTAATTCTTTAAAACCCAAGTCACCGTCGCCTCCTCTGTGAAGACGTGCTTCCAGAGGAAGCTTCCAGAGAGCTTTTCACCACAGCTCTCGCGAGTCCTTTCCTTCCCACACGCACCATTTGCATTTGTTTGCGCGTCTGCCTCAGCCACTGGGTCGGTTGCCTCACACAACTCCTGGCACGTGGCAGGATTTCAACAGAAGTCTGTGCACTGGATAGATGGTCCATAGGAAGAAAAGGCACACAGGAGACTGGCCGCACATCTCATTTCCGGTTTGGAATTTTCATGCAACTTTCCCTCCTGCTAGGCGAGGCCACCAAGAGATGGGCTGTGGGTGGGCTCAGACAGCAAGGATGCCTCTCCTGAAGAGAATGGAGTGGGTGGCAGGGCCTTGGGTGTGGCTGGGGCCCTGCCAGCCGAGGCTGGGAACTCTAGCTGCAGCAAGGGGAGAAGCCTCAATTCTGTGAAGGATCCAGGGTATTCTATGGTGCCTTGCAAATGCAAGTCCTTTTTGTTGCTGAAGTTACTGTCCTCAGCGGCCATTTATATAACCCCTCTAGTGAACTGGCAGGATTCTTGGCCGAAGGCGGCTGCCTTCCCTCTCGGGGGACCAACTGATGGCCTGCTTTGCTGAGTTCCAGGGCGCCACGCCCAGGCAGATCTGGATCCACGTTAAAAAAAATGCCAGGGGACAAACACTGAAGTCAAAAAGTTCTTTTGACCCCCACCCCTTAGAGCAATCGGTGCTTTTTTTTTTTTTTTTAAGCAGTGTAGACACCCCAGTGTACTCATTAAAACATCATTTCCTAAGGCCTTTTTTTATAAATAGAATTTCAAATGTATTCAGGTTGGTGCTTTCAAGGAGGGTGACCTTGAGCAGGTGCCTGGCACCGAACACCTGTGGAACATCGGCCAAGGGACACTCCTCACCACCTCCCTGGATGGTTAGGAACGCTGTTTCTCTACCATTTTACAGGTGGGGGAAGGGAACACAAGGAAACCGAGTGATTGGCTTTGGGTCCCAGGAACTGGTTTGTAGGCAGGCTGGAATGTTCCATCTGGGGAATTCTTCTTCTGCTTATTTGGCTGGGCTACGCAGGCCTGGGAGGAAGAAGTCACAACCTCCACACCCGCGGTTTTTCCTTCACTGCCAGAGCCAGAGGCTCTCTGGAGTGGAACGGACCCAGTTCTCTTTTATTTGTAGGGGAGTCATGAACCAACACCGGCCTTCACAAAGGTTAGCTAAGCGAAGCAGGGAACAGAAAGGCTATCGGAGGGAGGGGCAGAGAACGGGGAGAGAGAAACAAAGAAGGCTGCGTGTTGATGCTTCTTAGTTTCCCAGACCCTCCACACTGTTCCCCACTCCCTCCTGCCCAGTGGGGGGCGGAGGAGGGAGTCTGGGCTCCTACAGCAGCACTAGGAGGCTAATGAGCGAAGCCTTACCCAAGCCAGACAGCGGCGGCGCGCAGATCCAGCCAAAAGGCCCCGGGGCCCCGGCGTTTGTGTGTGTCGGGCGCTCGGTTACCATGGGAACGGCGTCCCGAGTTCGCAGCGCCGCCTGGAGTTCCCAGCCTGTGCGCCTCCTCCTCTTCCCTGCCCCAGCCTCTCCGCTTCAGGAGGAAGTGCTTGGGCCAAGCGGCAGTGGCTGGCCAGAAAGTTTTCTTCATTATTTGCGCCAGGGTCCCCGGGTCAGGTGCCCCCCGAAGGGAACCGGTGGACCGCAGACTGCCGGTGTTTGCAGCCCGCTAGCGCCCGCGCTCCTGCCCCTCCCGGGTAGAGGAGGGTCGGCAAAGACTGGGTGGGGTTTTGTTTTGCTTTGTTCTTTATTTAATAGTATGTAATGTTTATAGCTTCGTTTTTCTGATTACAAAACCGTACAGCGCGATGTTAGCTTTCCGCAGTCCTGGGGCCCAGGGTTGAGCTTGGTGGGTGGCTGAGATGGAGGGGAGTGGGGTCTGAGGCTCACAAAGCTGACCGCTTTTAACTCGGCCAGAAGAGCTGCAGGCTGGGTGGGGGGGTTGGTGCCGGGGAGGGGGGCGGGGTGTTTTCCTAGGAGACACCCTCCGGAGACTCACTTATGCTCGTCCCCAGGACAAAGACCCCCAAGCGGCCGAGAGGACAGCGGCCTCTTTGCTCTCTCTGGGGGTACTACTGGGGGGTTCAGGGAGCAGGCAGCCACCCTAAGGGGACAGAGTCCATAAGAGGAAGCCAGCGAAGGTCACAGGTTCTTGAATGGCTTTGCTGGCAGTTGCCAAGTGGCCCAGATGCACAAGGAGGCCCGGTTGCAACCTATTTCTGGTCAGTTGTCACACACAGTTCAGAACGATAGGTCCTGGATCTTTGAAATGTCAGTGATTTCTTTTCCCATTCTAAATAAATATTCACGTTGGCACCTAAATTTATACTTTTAAATTCTTTTTCTTGAAGAGTGTTCATCACATTGTGTAAATTCTGGGTATCCATAAAGCCTGAAGAATCATGAGTACCCTGTGCATGTCTGAGTGTCACTGGGTTTCTTCATTTTGTCTCTCAGTGGCCTGTGTCAGGTTCTTGGGAAGGGGGTGAGAATGACAGAGAAAAGAACTCTGGAGTGAGGGCATGGGGCACAGGGAAACTTGAGGGTTCTCAATGGTTCTCTGCTTGATGGTCCCATAGGAGGTAAGCAAGAGGAAGGTGGCCAGATAATTATTTATGCCTCTCCTCCTCCCTGGTGCAGAAAGTTGGAGAAGAGCAGAGGAGATGCCAAGTCCTTACCAGTACTATAACAGCAGGAGCCTCCGTGAGTTGGGGAGGAGTGTAGGGGAAACAGGAAGACACAGGATGCTACACAGGATGTCCAAAGAGCTCTTTGCATCTTTGGTTCTCAAGGATCTCTTGAAGCACAAAGGAGGCTAGGTTATTACAACAATTTTTGGTGAGGAGGAGCTGGTCAAGGACTACTTTTTTTTTTTTTTTTTTTTTTTTTTTAACTTTTATTTTTTTTTGAGAGAGCACAAGTGGGGGAGGGGGTAGAACGAGAGGGAGACAACAGAATCCAAAGCAGGCTCCAGGCTCTGAGCTGTCGGCACAGAGCCCGACACGGGGCCCGAACCTACGAACTGTGAGATCATCACCTAAGCTGAAGTCAGACGCTCACCCGACTGAGCCACCCAGGCGCCCTGGTCAAAGACAACTTCTGAGAGCTATACCTCTCAATGATTCTCAGGGCCAGTGCCAAGGGCTGCATGGGGGAACTTTTGTAGCCCCCTATAATGTCCGTCAACCTCACGTGAATCTAAGTAAGAAGCAGAATTGGTTTTCCAACGCAGCTTCAAGACAGTTTCCTAGTCTACTACTTGCAATAGTCCAGGGCCACCAAAGCCCTGTCACAATTTCAGCATCCATTCCCCAGGCTGGTGACTGTAACCTTGGATGGCGGCGTGGTCAGGCCTTCCACAAGATGGCGCTCAGGGGTTTTGCTTTAATTTTTAAACGTCGGTTGATTCATTACTTTGTCAGTATCTTATGCATGCCTACTGTGTGCCGGCATTGTTCTAGGAGTAGGGTCGGGGATGCAGACTTAACAAGACGAACGAAGTCTCTGGCTTTGAGGAATTTTAAAAGGTTGTGATTTTTTTATACTTTCAGAAGCAAAACCCAACTGTGATAGAGGTTTCCCATTTATGTTGCTGCTACGTTGTTTTGAAAGTTCTGCCGCGTTTCTGACAGTTGCACAATTTTTTCCCTCCAGGCTAGTATGGCCCGGAAGAATTATAGACACTTTTATTATTTGGCTGGGGAAAGGATTAACTTACATCTGTCTGCGTAAGCCACTGTCTGAGATTCATTCTTTTGCCAGGAAAATACTACATCTCAACTTGGACAATTCCAAATTGTTGCCAGGCACCAGCTTATCATTCTGAGGTCTCAGCTTGGGATTTGGCTGCCCATTTGAGTACATTCACAGCTCCTTTTAAAGAAAAACCGGGGTGGGGGGATTATTGGGGTGGCTCAGTCAGTTAAGCGCCCGACTCTTGGTTCTGGCTCAGGTCACGATCTCCCAGTTTGTGGGATCGAGCCCTGAGTTTGGCTTGGGATTCTCTCTCTCCCTCTCTCTCTCTGCCCCTTCCCTGCTCGTTGTGCACTCTATCTAAAATAAATAAATAAGAATGAAAAAAAGGGAAACATTTGGGTAGGTCTTTCAGGCGTTATAGTGACCTGCCTCCAAGTAAGGATGAAACCAGCTTTGATCTGGGTGAGAATTTATCAGACTCTTTTTTTTTTTTTTTTTTCTTTTCATAGCAAAACGTCAACCCCGCCACCGAACTATCTACCCTGGAGAATAAGTACAATCAAAGAGCTCACTCTTGCCAAAGGCAAACCTGAAACATTGCTGAGAGAGACAAAGGTCTGTGTGAACTGCTCATTCCTCCAGCTTCAGGAAGCTCTATTCTCATTCCAAGTTAGAATCCCAACGGCAAGATGTTTTAGGACATTCGCTATACTAATTTGGCTGTTTCCAGAAATACCTTCGCTTAGCTATGATTTGAAAAGTATGACCTTGATTTTAATCACAGACTGAAAGAAAATGGTCCTAAGACAAGTGTTTTGTAGTTTGGCAGACAATAATTCTTAAGATCAAGACCTTGCTCGTTTTACCACCCATATCCTTTATGTGAGGATTCATGAGAACCCCAGACTCTATCTGACCACCTGCCTGACTTGACATTAATACTCAGGTGTCCAGTAGGCATATCTCATTTAACACGGCCCAAATCAAACTCCCGATCTTCCCCCACCGTCTGCGTCTCCTTCAGTCATCTCAGTAAACAGCAACTCCACTGCTCAGACCAAGCATCTCAGAACCATCTTGGCGTATCTCTCTCTCTCTCTCTCTCTCTCTCTCTCTCTCTCTCTCTCTCTCTCCCCCCCTCCCCCTCCCCGCCCCTCACATGTAACCAGTTATCAAATTCTGTTGCCTTTCCCTTTAACACACACTCAGAATCTGGTCACTTCTCACCACCTTCTCGTGTCTGGAAAATTTCATAGACTCTTTCACTGGTCGCTCTACCAGGATAATCCTTTAAAATATGTCGGGTCATGACCCATTCTCTGCTCAAAATCATCCCATGACTTTCTGTCTTACCGGAAGGAAAAACCCAAGATCTCCACTTCCTGTCCCGCCCCCCCCTTCCCATGTCTGACTTGACGTCATGGTGATCTGCTCCTGATTCACCTTACTGGAGCCACACTGGTCTCGCATGCCCCCATCTCAGAGTTGGGGAGGGGTGGGGGGGGGTTTCTGTCCAGAAGATTCCTCCCAGATAGCCACATGATCCCTCCCTCTTCCCCCCTCCCATCTCTCCTCGAAGGTTACCTTCTCAGCCAGGGTTTCCTGACCACCCCATGAAAACTGCAGGCCCCTCTCTGAGCTCTTTCTTCTCCATTCCAGCTTCATTTTTCTCTGTAGCACTCACGACTGTCTGAGATACTATGTGTTTTATTTATTGTCTGTCTTGCTCCACTGGGTGGAAGCTCCCTGAGGGCAAAGACGTTTGTCCGTCTGCTCTGTTTTATTCACTTCTGTAGCTCACCACCGAGAGCACTACCTGGGACAGAGTTAAGTCCTCAGTAAATGTTGACTGAATGGATGATTAGATTCTATGAGGATGTGTGTCAGAAGAAAAAGTATCTGTTTTGTCCAAGTTGTATTTCCTTAGGCGAGATGATTGATGCTATGCATTGTAATTTACTTTTTGGTTTTACTACTGGGAAGCTCAAGGTCAGACGTAGAAGGAATTACAAGCACAGTTTCCCCCATGGTCTCTAACTCAGTAACAGCCTCCTCCGTATGTTTTCTCGTCGTCTTCAATTTTAACTTTTATTTGAACAACCTTGTGGGTACCTATGCTTCCGATAGTGCTCATGGAACTTCAGGATCCCACGAAATATTTGCCAAGTGAGTGCACTGTATAGCATTTTCACCCTTTTTGGAAGTAAGTGGGATATGACTAAGAAATTACCCATGATCTCTGGTATGGCTGACAAGTAATGAGCTAGAGAGAAATAGGCGATGATGAGGAGAGGAGAGGAGAGACTGGGGGGGGGGGGGAGAAGAACCACCCACATCCCCCCTCCGGGGCGAGCGTATCATCTGTCATCCACACCAGGACCCTATGTCAGCGAGGGGGGGGGGAGATAGGAATAATTCTGCCAGGACAACAGGCATGAATTGGAGCTGCCTGGGCACACTCGGACAAGTGGCTACTTTAGCAATGGCTCATATTTGTTACACAGTAGATATTTAATGTAGGTTCAAGGTCAGGAAAGTAAGCGTAAGGAAAATGGATTCCTTTGCTAGGATCCACAGAAGCCACTGGAAGCGTCACCAGCACCAAATGAAGACACGTTCCTGGATGTTAGGAAAGAGTTAAGTAAGCGGGTTGACTTTTGTTGTTACTTCTCAACATTGACTCTGGCAGAGCTGTTTGAAAGCCTGGAAAAGAGGATAAGGGGGGACAGACCAGACAGTACCAAAGGGAGTAACTTCCCGGAGCCCAGAGAAATCCTGCCGCTGTCCGCCTATCCGCCGACCCCTGAAGCAGGACAGAGGTGAACGGACCCCTCTCCTGCCTGGTGGGGAGTCCCCTGCCTTCTGTCTTCTCGTCATTCCCAAAGCTGGGATTTCTGTCCTCTCCAGCCACCAGCTCCCAAGATCCCTCACTCAAAGGCCAATTCCTTAGGTTGCTGGTGGCAATGAGCGCTCCC